ACAACAGAGCTTGGAAGCCATGGCGCTCATCCAACAGAGGGGAAAACCCTATGGAGGGTTATTCCAGAATGGCAAGGCAACCCTCCCTTGCGCATTTCAGGAGCAGGTCTTTTGTAAGGCTAAGGGGACCAAACCACAGCCAAATAACAGCAGAGGACTTAATACAGACAGTCTCCAAGTTAAAACATCTGACTTACATCTGCCAAAACTACTTTGTACTTTTCTGGACTAGATGGTGATAGGGGTCTCTTCCAACTCTATTCTATGCAATGACTCCTAGTTAAGAACATGGCTGATACAACAGGAAATGAGAGCAATCTACCCCTTGGAAGGAAGGGAAATCCACTACTGGAAGAGTTATTATCAGGGGGAAAGGGGGGCTGCAATGAAGCTTTTTTGGAGCCCCCAGTGGCGCAGTGGGTTAAACCGCTGAGCTGCTGAACTTACTGACCGAAAGGTCACAGGTTTGAATCCAGGAGTGGGGTGAGCTCCCGCTGTTAGGTCCAGCTTCTGCGAACCTAGCAGTTCGAAAACATGCAAATGTGAGTAGAGCAATAGGTACCGCTCCAGCAGTAACAGCGCACTATGCAGTCATGCCAGCCACATGACCTAGGAGGTGTCTACGGACAACACTGGCTCTTTGGCTTAGCGAATAGACTTAATGTCAAGGGGAAAACCTTTACCTAATGAAGCTTTATCCTTGTTTCTACAACAAGCCAAATTATTCAAAATTCTATTCTCACAGGAACAGAAAGTGGATTCAAATCTCCTGAACAGGGGCACAGTATTATTATTATTATTATTATTATTATTATTATTATTATTATTATTATACAGGCAGAAAAGGAAACAACAGAAGTGTTCACCCTATAATCATCATTATCTTTATTTTAGTCTGCCCTGTCTCCCTCGGGGGACTCAAGGCAGTTTACACACACTAAGGCAAATATTCAATGTCCGGTATATATCAAAACATTACAGCAACAAACATAACACAGAATAATAACAGCATTGTACTAATCAAATGAAATTAAATATCAAAATAAAAACACAGAACAACTAACCACTAAACAAATACGTTTAAAAGAATGGTCAACAATAAAGTATTTAACATAGTCAGCATAGTTAAAAACTGGGTAAGCATTTGGCTGTTAGTTGTTTTTAACTGTACCATAATGGCCATGAAGTACACTATGCAATCCAAAGCTTATGCTGATAGGTAGGTAGGTAGGTAGGTAGATAGGTAGATAGATAGATAGATATAGATATATACATACATACATAAACATACACACACGGCTGGAGTGTCAACCCTTCCCTATGCCATCCAAAGTACACATGTGAGTGTGAATGAATATATATATATGCTTTGGATAGCATAGGAAAGGGTTGGCACTCCAGCCATATATATCTATCTACACACACACTCCCTCTCCAGTCATGTGTGTGTATACACACACACACACACACACACACTTACATACATATACATATATATTCCAGCCATAAATACAGATACATATATATTCACACTCATGCATGCACCAACCATAATAAAACCTTTACATATACACACACACACCAGCCATAATAAAACCTTTTTATTTAGACAGGTTTTGAAAGATAAAGATTCTGAAGTTCAATTCAGGGAGTGCTGTGGTTTTTCACTTTGAATTTGTTTGAATAATTTTTAATCCTGTTTATTTAATCCTGTTTCAATGTTCGTATATATGCTTTTATGTCAAGCCACTTTTGAGTCTCCTTTGGGGGGAGACAAAGTGAGGTATAAATACATATAATCATAATCATAATCAATATAATATAATAATTGCATATTTTAAATTCTATACGAATACTTTTATGTCAAGCAACTTTGAGTCCCTTGTGGGGGGAGACAAAGCGAGGTATAAATACATATAATAATAATAATAATAATAATAATAATAATAATAATAATAATTGCATATTTTAAATTGTATGCACATACCTTTATATCAAGCCGCTTTGAGTTTTCTTCAGGGAGAGATAAAACGGGGTATAAATACATATAATCATACTCATAATAAATATAATAATAATAATAATTGCATATTTTAAATTGTATGTGTATACTTTTATGTCAAGCCACTTTGAGTCCCCTTCGGAGGGAGATAAAGTGTGGTATAAATACATATATGTATATAGCTGGACTTACCGACAAGTGCAACTTAAGAACAAACCTACAGAACCTCTCTTGTTCGTAACTTGGGGAATGGCTGTAAAGGCTTTGCCCTGGCCAAGAACCTGGGAGGATGGCTGCTGAACTGAGGAAGAAGAAGAGGGGCTTCCAAGAGGGGCTTCCAAGAGGGGCTGCCGGTGCTTCCAATCAAAACAGAGGAAGTGCAACCAAGCCACAAGCAAGCCTCGGGAGAGGGCTGCTGGGGCAAAGTAGAAAGCCTCAGGGCCACCTTGGGGTGGGGGGTCTCAGGGGTCTGGGAAAGGCTCGGAGGGAGCCCCTTACCTGCCTCCCCAGCTCGTCCTGCAAGTGGCTTCCTCTCCTCAGCCAGGAATGGGAAAGTCGCATCCAGGCTTTCCCAGGTGCTGCGACGCCCAGCTGGATGGAGCTCTTGCTTCTTCACTTCTAATGAGACTGGGATGAAAAAAGAAAAGGCAGGAGCAAAAGAGTCTCTCTCGCCTCCCTCTCCTCCTCCTCCCAGCTTGCTAGGCAGCCAACCAAAGCTCCTGGCAGGAGGAGGAAAGAAGCCAAGGATGGAATTATGAATGGAGAGAGAGCAGGGAGGGGCAGCTCCCCCTTTCCAGGTGAACAGCATCAGGAAGACTGGGTTGCTGTGAGTTTTCTGACCTGTCTGGCCATATCACAGCAGCATTCTCTCCTGACATTTCGCCTGCATCTGTGGCTAATGGCACCTTCAGGTGTTCTGTTGGCAGTGAAGCAAATGGGATGTATATACACCTGCGGGATAATGTCCAGGGTGGGAGAAAGAACTCTTGTCTCTTCCCATAGAGACATTCAATGTGTTGTTGAAAGCTTTCATGGCCGGAATCACTGGGCTGCTGTGAGTTTTTCAGGCTGTCTGGCCATGTTCCCATAACATTCTTTCCTGAGGTTTCACCTGCATCTGTAACTAATGGAATCTTCTGTATAGAATGTCACGGAGATTAAGATCCTCTGGGGAGGGCCTGCTCTTCGTCCCACCATTGTCACAGGCACGATTGGTGGGGACGAGAGACAGGGCCTTCTCGGTGATTGCCCACCAGCTATGGAACTCCCTTCCTGGTGAGATCAGATCGGCCCCCTCCCTCCTGTCCTTCAGAAGGATGGTAAAAATTTGGCTGTGGGACCAAGCTTTTGGGACAGGGCAATAAAGCAGCAATAGGAAAGATTACCAGGCTAATTAGATTTGGTGCGGACGACCAGGATGGTTTTAAATGGTGTATTTTAATACTGAGATAATACTGAGTTTAATACTGAGTTTATGTATGCGTATATACATTCTTGTCCCGGCATTGAATGTCTGCCATATATATGCTGTGCTCCGCCCTGAATCCCCTTCGGGGTAAGAGGGGTAGAATATAAATGTTTTAAATAAATAAAGTGTGTTGGAAATGAGGCAAATGGAGTGTGTATATACCTGTGAAATAATGTTCAGGGTGGGAGAAAGAACCCTTGTTTCTGTGTTATTGTAGGTTTTTTGGGCTATATGGCCATTTTCTATAAGCATTCTCTCCTGACGTTTTGGCTGCATCTATGGCAGGCATCCTCAGAGGCTGTGACGTCACAACCTCTGAGGATGCCTGCCATAGTTGCAGGTGAAACGTCAGGAGAGAATGCTTCTAGAACATGGCCATATAGCCCAAAAAACCTACAATAACCCAGTGATTCTGGCCATAAAAGCCTTTGACAATAAACCCTTGTCTCTCCCCATAGAGACTTTCAATGTGTTGTCGAAGGCTTTCATGGCCAGAATCACTGGGTTGCCGTGAGTTATATTCCAGCAGTATTCCCTCCTGATGTTTCACCTGTGTCTGTGGCTAATGGCATCCTTAGAGGTTGTGAGGTGCCTGCCTGGATGCAGGTGAAATGTCAGGAGAGAATGCTACTAGAACATGGCAAGACAGCCTGAAAAACTCACGGCAACCCAGAACCCCTGTCTGTTTAAAGCAAGTGTGGATGTTGCAATTAGCAAGCTTGATTAGCATTGAGTAGCCTTGCAACTACTCAATCAATCAGTGAGAGTAGGTTCTTGTGGGTTTTTTCGGGCTATAGAGCCATGTTCTAGAGGCATTTTCTCCTGACGTTTCGCCTGCATCTATGGCAAGCACCCTCAGAGGTAGTGAGGTCTGTTGGAAGTAGGAAAGTGGGTTTATATATCTGTGGAATGACCAGGGTGGGACAAAGGACTTTTGTCTGCTAGAGCTAGGTGTGAATGTTTCAACTGACCACCTTGATTAGCATTTGACATTGCCTGGAGCAATCTTTTGTTGAGAGGTGATTAGCTGTCCCTGATTGTTTCCTCTCTGTTGTTTTGCTGTTATAATTTTAGAGTTTTTTATTATTGGTAGCCAGATTTTGTTCATTTTCATGGTTTCCTCCTTTCTGTTGAAATTGTCCACATGCTTGTGGATTTCAATGGCTTCTCTGTGTAGTCTGACATGGTGGTTGTGAGAGTGGTCCAGCATTTCTGTGTTCTCAAATAATATGCTGTGTCCAGGTTGGTTCATCAGGTGCTCTGCTATGGATGACTTCTCTGGTTGAAGTAGTCTGCAGTGCCTTTCATGTTCCTTGATTCGTGTTTGGGCGCTGCGTTTGGTGGTCCCTATGTAGACTTGTCCACAGCTGCATGGTATACGGTAGACTCCTGCAGAGGTGAGAGGATCCCTCTTGTCCTTTGCTGAACGTAGCATTTGTTGGATTTTCTTGGTGGGTCTGTAGATGTTTGTATGTTGTGTTTCCTCATCAGCTTCCCTATGCGGTCAGTGGTTCCCTTGATGTATGGCAGGAACACTTTTCTTCTGGGTGGATCTTCATCTTTACTCTCGTGGCTTGTTCTTGGTCTTGCAGCTCTTCTGATGTCTGAGGTGGAGTCAGTCAATAAGTGAGGGTATCTGATAAAGGTAGCCTGGCCTTTGTTGCCTGGTGGCATCCTCTGTTTTGGAGTGTTAACTCGCCCTTGATTGCTTGTTGTCTGGAGTTCTCGTGTTTCTGAGTGGTGTTCATTATTTACTGTCTTAATTTTGGTGTTTGTTTGTTTTTTTAAATACCGATAACTTTTTTAAACATTGGCTTTAAACAAACAAGGGTTCTTTCTCCCACTCTGGACATTCCAGATATATACACACACACACACACCACTGGCCTCTTTTCCAAACAAACCTCTGTAGATGCTTACCACAGATACAAGCAAAATATCAGGAGAGAATGCTGCTGGAACATGGCCAGGCAGGCCAAAAAGCTCATAGTAACCCAGGGATTCCAGCCATGAAAGCCTTCGACAACACATTGAACATCAGGAAGAACTTTCCAAAATGATTAAGCCAGCATCAACAGTGAGGTCTGCTGCCCAGGAAAGTGATAGAAACCTCTTCAATGTTGTCATATACAACCCAGATGATCTGATTTGAACTGGGTGATATGGCAATGTAGACTCAGATCCCTTCTACCGTGTCATATTATTCAGATTATCCCAGCCACATGATCTTGCTTGAACTGGATTAAATGAACCTACACTGCCATAGCATCCAGTTCAAAGCAGATTATCTGGCTTTTATAGTCAGTGTAGAAGGGGGCATCTTTTTTTCTAATATTTAAGTGAAATCTCTTTTCCTACCTCTGAAAGGGATGAGTCTGCCAATCTGTTGGGATGAGGTGGATCGGCTGCTCTTATGGGGCACAGACAATCATCTGGTCCTTAACATCAATAAGACCAATGAGCTCATAGTGGATTATAGGAAGAACAGACCCCAAATTCAGCCCTTGATCATAAATGGAGACCAAGTGGAGTGGGTGACCAGTTTCAAATTCCTGGGTGTTGATGTGAAAGGGAATCTGACCTTGGGCAGCATTCATGAGGCAGTGTTGGTGAAGAGGGCCCAGCGGAGACTGCAGTGACAGATAGGAAGGGACTCCAAAGGGTCACCACTTCAGCAGAGAACATCATTGGCTGCCCTCTTTCTCCCTTCTTTGGATGAACTTTACAAGTCCCACAGCCTTAAGAAAGCTCAGAGCATTCTTGGGGATTCATCTCACCTGGTATATTCTTTTTTTTAAATTATTGCCATCTGGCAGACTGTACAGGGTGACAAAGGCAAGGGCATACAGACTGTGAGGCAGCTTTTATCCCAAAGCTGTAACTATATTGAACTCCATGGTTTTGCTTTGATGTGGTGGTGGGAGCATGGAGCAATGGGTGTGTTGTTTTGTGGTGTGTGTTAGGGAAAACATTGAATTTCGTTGTACAATGTTGATAAAGCTATTCTATTCTATTCTATTCTATTCTAATTAGACTCAATTGCTAATCAAATTAGGGGAGATGACTTCACAGAATCATAGAATCAAAGAGTTGGAAGAGACCTCATGGGCCATCCAGTCCAACCCCTGCCAAGAAGCAGGAATATTGCATTCAAATCACCCCTGACAGATGGCCATCCAGCCTCTGTTTAAAAGCTTCCAAAGAAGGAGCCTCCACTGCACTCCAGGGCAGAGAGTTTCACTGCTGAACGGCTCTCACAGTCAGGAAGTTCTTCCTCATGTTCAGATGGAATCTCCATGTTCAGATGGAATCTTCTGGACAGTCAAGGCTGTTTGGCAGTGGAATCACCTGCATAGTAGTGTAAGGTGTCTTGCATTCTCTGGTATGGAGGATGGTCATTTGTCAGGAGTGCTTGGATTGTGTCTTTCTGCATAGCAGGAAGAGGTTGGGCTTCATGAGCAAGATTGGTTCACAGGTTTGTCATTATTATTATTATTATTATTATTGACACAAAAGCACAGTATATCACAGCAAACAAGATCTCTATGCTGGATTTTGTATCACAAAATCACAAGTCGAACACTTTCTAAGCGTCTAGGACTGTGTGATGTATTTTCGAATGATGCGCGCAGATCCAAGTAAGGTGGCCTTTTGCAGTTGACAGATCGTGATTTTGTCGATGTTTATTGTTTCTAAATGCCGGCTGAGATCTTTTGGCACGGCACCCAGTGTGCCGATGACCACTGGGACTAACTGTACTGGCTTATGCCAGAGCCTTTGAAGTTTGATTTTGAGGTCTTGATAGTGGCTGAGTTTTTCCTGTTGTTTTTCCTCAATGCGGCTGTCACCTGGTATAACGACATCAATAATCCAGACTTTTTTTCCCCACAATCGTGATATCTGGTGTGTTGTGTTCCAAAACTTTGTCAGTCTGGATTCAAAAGTCCCACAGTATTTTTGCATGTTCTTTTTCCACAACCTTTGCGGGTTTATGATCCCACCAATTCTTTGCTGCTGGCAGGTGGTACTTGTGACATAAGTTCCAGTGAATCATTTGGGCCACAGAGTTGTGTCTTTGTTTGTAGTCTGTCTGTGTGATTTTTTGCAACGGCTGAGGAGATGGTCCATGGTTTCACCAGCTTCCTTGCACAATCTGCATTTTGGGTCATCAACTGATT